TCAAGAACGGATATAACACTTTCCTTAGGTTATTTAAAGCGGCAAATGACCACCAGACCTTAATCTTAGCAGACAAATGTGCCAATGAAAATCGTAACCGTGAATTGTTGGTGAAAATGTTGGACCAAAAAGTTTCAATAAAATATATAAAAATTTTGGGCGGGACGAAGTTCGCCGGGTCTGCTAGTTTTATATATACCTCAATAACAATTGATCAATAATTAGTATGCATCTTACCGGTTTAAAAGAGAATTTCATATACATACGTATGCATATATCTATGATATTTTCTCTTAAATCGGTAAGAAACATATAAAATTGAAGTGTGTATAAAATTGTTAATCACAAAACATAAAAGTGCTCAACATACGCGTGTTGATGAAATAAAAAATAAGATAACTTAAGCGTAAAATTTTCAGATTCAAGTACTTACAAAATATTGCATACACCCTGTAGTTATCATTGTCTGCCATGCCTCGTAATCCTTTAAACTTTGCTAGTGTTGCTGCTTTATTTTCTACGCATTTTCTCATCTCCAATAAGCTGGATTCCCCAATGTTTTCGTATAAATTTAGATTGCCATCCCAGAAGTAAGGAAGCTTACATTTCTGAAGACTTGTTTTTAAATCGTTAAATAGCTTTAAATAAACAAAAAAACAAACAAAATTATTACAATTAAATATATGTGAAGGCGAAAGTTAAAAGGGACCTACGCACAATACTGTGACCGAGGCAAAAAAACGAAAAATTTGCTGTCTCGAATATAATCGAATTCACTATAATTTGTTAGTCTCTAGTGAATTGATACCTATGCCATTCTCATTAGGCTCACCGTTTGTTTCTCTCGCTCTAGCTCTCGCTAGCCTCTAATGTTACAAGTGCTGCCGCTACCACCAATGAAATGGCATCTATATCTGTGGCTTACGATCCTTGAATGGTTAACGTGCCCGCAGCCCCTCAACTGACAATGTCTTCTTTTACAACATCGGGAATTCCACCTGTTGCTCCTAGAGATGTGACTGCCATCGCGCCTCGTAGGACCGTTTTTGTATCTCGCTCGTTGACTGAAGCTGATATTATTCATTACGTGCGCTCTAAGCTTTATCTTACACCTACAAGCAGTATCGAAGTTTATGAATTTAACTTAAATATGAGAGAGACACTTCTTCTTTTAAAATATCAGTTCCTGACGCATATGTTGATAGAGTACTTGATCTTTCTGTTTGGCCTGACCATTCTGTGGTACATCTGTATAAAAGAAAATCATATATTGAACCTCCAGCAGTAAAGAAGTCAAAAAACTCTAAAGGCAATACCGTAGGAACATTACAGACATGAATTCTAATTCGTTCAGTCTTATTATTCACTAGCAGACCCGGCGACCCGGTATTCTATCATTCTTGATCTATATCTATATCTATACTATCTATACTCTATACTAATTATATAAAGAGAAGTCCCTTTTTTTTGTAACAGGTAATCTCTCGAACGGCTGGTCCGATTTTCATGAAATTTTGTGTAAAAATAGCTTTCGCCATGTTTTAGGATAAAAAAAATTTACTTTTTTCGGGTAGGTGGACCAGGGACCGGTCTATTCAAAAAAATCTTATTATAGTCCGATTTGCTTAAAATTTAGTACGTAAGTAGCTTTTTAGCATATATGACCCATTTTTTTCGGGAAGTGGACCAGGGACCGATCTATTCGAAAAAATCGAATTTACGGTCCGCTTTGCTTAAAATTCGGGACGTAGGTAGCTTTTTGCCTGGATAAGCTTATAGATTCCTGTTTTGCAATTTTCATGCAATTTCGAATATAAATAGCTTTAAGTAACGACCATATCAAGGGGCGAATTCGTCACTAGCCAAGATTTTTTTGCGCCAATCAGAAACAACGGATACTGTCAAAATATAATTATAATATACTAGCAGACCCGGCGAACTTCGTCCCGCCCAAAATTTTTATATATTTTATTGAAACTTCTTGGTCCAACATTTTCACCAACAATTCACGTTTATGATTTTCATTGGCACATTTGTCTGCTAAGATTAAGGTTTTGTGGTCATTTGCCGCTTTAAATAGCCTAAGGAAAGTGTTATATGCGTTTTTCAAATTCTCCAGTTGTGCGGCATTTCATAGCACGGTTATTCGCAAAGC